TTTCTGATTTCAAAATTTAAAACCCTAACCCTAATTGAAAAATGATTTCACATTCATCAATTCAAAACCCTAACTGTAATTGAAAAACGATTTCACATTCATCAGTTCAAAACCCTAATTCAAAACCAAAACCCTCATTTCTGATTTCACATTCAATAGAAAATCATAACCCTCATTTTTTCATTTCAAACATAATATCTAAATTTTTCTAAACAGATTCAACATTCAATAGATTTCACATTCAACAGATGTCACATTGAACAGAAATCTGATTTCACATTCAATAGAAATCTGATTTCACATTCAACAGAATTCACAATTATAAACATATTTAAGATAAATATAAACCATTCAACATTCACATTCAACAGATTTCTAAACAGATTTCACAAATATAAACCCTAACCCTTATTTAAGATTTAAGATTTCATATTCAACAGATTTCTAAACAGATTTTACAAATATAAACCCTAACCCTAATTTATTATTTCTGATTTGACAACATTTTCACATTCATGAACCCTATTCTACCAACATTACACGAAACACCAAAATAATGAATCTAACACAAAACACCAAAGTTGGCCAAAAGTGCCTGAAATTGTAAAATTATTGGGTATGGTATGGTATGGTTTAATTTTAAAATGTCCAATTGTCGAAAATTGTAAAATGTCCAAATGCCCAAAATTGGCTTTCATTTTTTAAGTTTAATTGGGTATGGTTTAAAAAAAAATTGTAATCAAATTAAATTATTAAAATTATTCAACCAATTTGACCAAAATCATTTAGGATTTTATTTTCTCTACGTTTTTACATAATTTGTTCCTAAAAAAAATCATATAACATTATCAAAAAAAATTAACTTATTATAAATTTCTTAAACCCTAATTTTTGAAACCATAACCCTCATTTTTTATTTCACAATTTAAAACCCTAACCCTAATTGAAAAATGATTTCACATTTATCAATTCAAAACCCTAATTCAAAACCAAAACCCTCATTTCTCATTTCACATTCAATCGAAAAGCATAACCCTCATTTTCTCATTTGAAACATAATATTTAAATTTTTCTAAACTTCAGGTTCTTTCAACAGATTTCACATTCAACAGATGCCATAAATGTAATCCTAATTTCTCAAATTTCACATATACATTAACTAGATTAAGAGAGTATTTTTAAATCAGATTAGGGTTTTAACGATAGAACGATTATGGCATTTTCACAATTCATTTAGGATGAATTTAGAGTATTTTTATGGCATATGTAACAAAAATCTGATTCAATTCGAAGTTAATGTTAAATGTTAGATTTAACCATAGAACGATTTAGAACTACATTCATGAACCCTATTCTACCAACATTATACCCACTTTCACAACCACAAAAAAAAACACAATAAAGTAGATCAAGAGAGAGAGACAGAAGGCATACCAACGAGAGAGAGGACAGAGAGTAGAAAGGGAGCTCGTGCACAGCCAGAGAGAGAGAGCAGTAAGAGCGAGAAAAACGGGACTGAGCGAGAGAGAGAGCAGGAGCGAACTGTGTTATCTAAAAAGCGTGATTGCAAATGACGGGGCTGGGGCGGGTTTATATCAATTCTAAAAGCGTGGTTACAAACTACGTGTTCACTTAAAAAAATTGTATAAAAAGTGTGGTTCACAACCACGATTTTAGCAAAAAAAAATTTGGCCAAAAAGCGTGGTTTGAAATAGCGAGTTCAGAAGAATTTTTTGTTTCCATAAAAGCGTGGTTTAAAACAGCGAGTTCAGAAGAAATTTTTTTTTTGCATAAAAGCGTGGTTTATAACAGCGAGTTTAGAAGAAAAAAAATTAATTAAAAGCACCTTTTGTAACTGCGATTTCTTAATCAAAAGCGCGTTTTGTAACCACGATTTTATGACTTCCCAAATTCCACGCGAGACAGGCGCATATATGTTGAAATCGTGGTTTATTTTGGGAATTCTTTCAAAACTAGGCTTAGTTTGGGAATTGATTTAGTATTTTGGCTTATTTAGGGAAATGCCCCAACAACCTCCTCTCCTCCTCCTCCTCCTTCTCCGCCTTCCTTCGCACCTCCATTTCCTCCTTCACTGGATCCTCTTCCAACGGTTCTGGTCCCAAGTTCAGCGCAAACAACGTTGAAGGAAGGACCAGCTCGTCCCACCTCACTCCCTTTTCCTCCCTCTACTCTCTCATCTTCTATACTCTGTCTTCGGCCTCCACACCTAACTTTGGCTCCACCGATTTCGTGGGGACTTGTTTAGCACACCGTCCCTCACCGTCCCTCCGGTCGCCTGCTGCCAGGCACTCGTGCAGGCCACTACTATCTTCCAGGCGTTCGGCATCAGCTGCCCTGGCGCCATTCCCAACTTGTTTAGCACATCCACCACTATTTGGGGGAGAGGTAGCCTCAAACCACCTCGCAGCCCTTCCTCATAAATGCTGAATTCGTCCGGCCGCACATCTGACGCCCTCTCATTGGATGTGGGCAGCCTTAACCCTATTTCCGAGGGAATTTGGTACTTCCTCCTTATTCCCTCCAACTCCTCCGCCGTAAGTGTGGATGTGTCTGGTTTGGTGTGCCAATGATCTGACTCCGCTTGACTAATGGGCCTCGCGGCCGCGATCATTGGCATAGGGCGAGCCCGCATCGCCTGACTAACTACCCTCCCTTCCCGTCGCTCCGCTCGGTACTGTTCCACCAACTCCACCGCATCGTCATCACCTAACGAATCAAGCCTTGCGGTAGGCACTTCCTCTTCGGCCATTTCTCCTACGTGTCTGCGTATTGATTCGGACGCGGGCATAAGGAAGTTCACAAAGTGTTGTAGAGGTGTATCATTGGAAACAAATGAGTTTACTTCTGGGACGTGTTGGTTTTTCGCAAGAAGATAGGTAAAGCGGACAACCCCAAGCGCCCACGGTTTGCCTACATTCCAAGGGTCTAGGTTAAATTTCGCTGGTTTGAAATATTTCGAAAAACTCCCGCCCCTGCCTTTTTACTGCCCTATATCACCTTGTCCCTTCACTTCTTACTAACGCATCACCTCCCCCATTCAAGGATTCTGCCACGTGTACGACCATGATCCACTACTCCCTTCCCCTTCTCTGTCTATTCCACTTCACTTCACCACGTGCCTTGCCGCTCCTTGAGCCCCGCGCGCCGCCACCTTCCCTTCTCACTCAGCCACCCTTCGTGGTCGGCCCTCTCTGTGGTCGGTCTTTTTGCTCGGCCACCCTTCGCGGTCGGCTTCTCTCACGGTCGGTCTCTTCACTCGGCCACCCTTCACGGTCGGTCTCTCTACTCGGTCACCTTTCACGGTCGGCCATCCTCACGATTGGTCCTCCCGCTCGGCCACCCTTCGCGTTCGTTTCCTCCGCTCGGCCATCCTTCGCTGTTGGCCCTCCTCACAGTTGGTCCCTCCGCTCGGTCACCCTTCGCGGTCGACCCTCCTCATGGTCGATCCCCCAGCTTGGCCACCCCTCGCGGTCGGCCCATTTCCCGGTTGGTCTTCTCTCCGACGTTATCTCACAACCCCTGTTTTCTTCCTTATTCCCTTCGTTGGGCTAAAGCGACACTTGGGAATGGGGACTACGGACATGGGTAAGCCCATAAAGGATATGGCCCACCACTTAAGGCCCAATCCATGATTCAAATACTAAAGCCCAACATCCCTAAGACCCAACGTTACACTAAGCACCAATGGCATTTAAACACTTGGCAAGTAAAGAGCGAGCCACATCAGCAGATAAAGATCCTGTAGAGTAATTGCACCACACATCAGCTATTAATGAGCTTTCCTGCAGCATTTATTACGATAACCCTTCACGTCAGGACAGAACAGCCTCACCATGAACAAGGCAAGCTAGAACACAGACTTTTGGCCAATGTGACAGCCCGGAGTGGACAAGGAAATGAAGAGCAAAGGATATAAGCAGGCTCCTAAGACGAAGAAAATGTTAAGTTTTCTATCTCCATCTCCTCTCTATATCTCCATCCCTCTCGTCTCTCTAACTTGCTCGTCGGAGGGTTCGCTGGGGGACTCCCCGTTTCCCGTTGAACTCCTTTGCAGGTTTTTCGGTGGGCCCAACAATCGGATAACGACTTGAGAAGCGTGAACCAGTCAGACCCGCTTCATCTGTGGCTAGCATCATCATCAAAAAGTAATATAGCTCTCGCTAAATAAATCAATCACATTTAAAAATAAAAAAATATCATTCCAAATCCACCCAATCTTCAATCTACTTCAAGATCTTTAAATCGCTTTTGAGTAAAACTAATGCATAGCAACGTGTTGAAGAAACAATTGTGCAATAAGAAAATTATGAATAAACAATAGAGAGAATTTTTCTCTAAAATTTTAATAGTCAATAATCGAAAGCTTCGTAGTCAGGAGCTTGCCACGAAATTTGTAATTGTAGAGAAACCCCACCTATACTAGAAAACAATAGTAATAGACAATTACTTGCTAATCAATCTAAAATAAAGAAAAAAATACCAAAAAATGACAATTGACTTTAGATAACCCAAAAGTATTGATGCGCACTTCATTGAAAGTTCCAATGCAATAACAGTTCTTCCCAACCTCTCTATGTAGACAAGAGATGTGGATTCTCATTGTTTGTTATTCTCTAGTCAGGACAGTGAGAAGATGCTAACTCTGTTTAAAACTTCTCCTGGGTGGGGTTCAGTTTCCTGCATCAAGCCCAACTGCCTACTTCAAATTTCAGATGTGTATCGGCGGACCAATTCACAGCATATGCAGCCGATTCGGTTCCTATAGTTTTCTTTTTCCTTGCTGATAATGACTTTTTAATAATTCTCCTTGCTGATAATGACTTTTTAATAATTCAATGTTTGCCTCAACCAATTCTTGATACCTATTGCTCGGTTCTCTGGATACAAATATTGATTCATCTCCCCGTATCAGTGTTTAAACATTAACGTAGGGTGCTTCTAAGTAGGATGGAAAATAAATGAGCTCAAATTATCTGCACTCTTGTAAACAATGGTAAATTTGAAATATCACTAATCAACAAAGATTACATTGATCATTTAAGGCCTTCTGAGAAGGCATATATATCGTTCATACACTTGAGAGAGAACCTAGACATTTAAAAGAATGAGAGAAAACAACAAAATTGTACAGAGCAATATTCAAAGCCCAAATAAATCACACATATTAAAAGTGACCATTCTTAGGGGATATCTTCAGTGACAAGTACTTTACTATATTCCATGCTTGCTTGCAATTCAATCTCTTCACCATGTGTTTTCTTGCACTGAAAATATAAGACTGTGTAGGTCAAGTAGTGAAACATTGTCACCAGGCCAGAAAAAAGTGTCAGAAAAAACCCGATTATCATCTGGATAGATAATGATTTTGGATCTCTGATCATCCTAGAACACTGAACTACAACAATCGATGCTAGCAACACAAAAATGTTTAGAGCAAATCCGTGTAGCCTCTTCCCCTTGATAAGTCCTCCAGCTTTTCCTAGTGCTCCAATTCCATAACAATTCTCTTCAAGCACCGAAATCACCAACGCCAAAACCCAAACAACCGATAAGTATGTCCAGAAAATCAAGGCAACAATACCAAATGAGATGGAGATGGCTTTTAAGGTGAAAGGATGATCACAAAAAACCACAAGAGGAATTAGTAAAACCAATACAAAGAAAATGTAACCGTAGAGATAAATAGTGATGTGAAATGAAGTGATGAACGGTCTTATACACGACCTTGTCAACCTTGACAGAAAATCATTGAAAGACAAGGCCTTATCCTGATATGCTATGGCTGATACTAAAATTGTTGATACCATAGAGAAAAGAGAGATGATCAAGGAAGCGAGCAAGATAGCCGATTCAATTCCTATGATGGTTCGTACATCTATTTTGACACCAAGAAGCAAATCAGCAAAACCGGGGCTCCCGGGGCCTGCAAGAAGTAAAAGGGTTTCCTTGGAAAGCAAATCGTGGATCACCGGTTTGGTGGAGAAGATGTTGGTAAATAAGAGAAGAGAGTTGAGGAGGATGGAGGCTGTGGTTATGGTGGCCATGAACTGCCCATTTTTGGCTAGGACTTTGATGGATTCCCTCAGAATTTCCACAAAACTAGAAAACTCATACAAACCCATAGCAGTGTCCAGGGTCAGTGATCTACACAAGCTCTTTGTCCCAAGAGAAGGGTCAGTGGTGTTTAAATATTGGTTGTCATTTTGGTTTGAATTGGTCCTTTCTATGGTGAAAGCTGGTTAATTTATTGTATTGTCCTCAGGTTTGAATTGTAGACTAAGCTCTTAGAGTTGTGTTTGTTTGCTTTTAGAGAAGGGTCAATCGTGTTTAAATATTGGTTGTGTCATTTTGGTTTGAATTGGTCCTTTCTATGGTGCAAGCTGGTTAGTTTATTATAATGACCTCAGGTTTTAATTGTAGACTATTCATTATGTGGTTGACAAAAATGATAATAACACAGAAATAAATTACAAAATGGGACACACACGTCTCTGAAGCCCACACACTTTGGGACTCACAAACACTTGAATGTCTGTATTCGGTTCTGTAATTTATTTTGTGTTAGTAGCACTGTTATGTGATAAATTAATAAAACCACCATTATATATAGATAGGTCAATAACCCGAAGTGGATTTTAAAAGTACTAGTGAATAAAAAGAATATAGGTTACTAGAACATGCTTGCTACAAATTCCAAGAAATATAAACACTATTAAGTTGGTGTTTGGGAAGCGGATTTTTATGTAGGTTTTTTATGTAAAAAGTTTGTATTTTAGTGGAAAAAGTCAAAAAAAATTCGGAACCCAAGTTCCCAAACACCACTTTCACCAAGAATTTCAGTGATAACCAAACACAGCATTTTGTGTACTTACAGTGGGGTTCTAACTCTTAGTTCTAACTATTCTGGAAAAAAAGTGAGCTCAAATTATCTGCACTTTTGCTTGAAATTCATTGTGTAATGACAATGTTGTTTTGCTTTCCTGATAGTAAAAAAATTATACAGATTGATACCTCTCAAAAGAGATTATGATTTTATTTACTAAGCTCAGCTGATAATGTGTAGGAATGGCAACGGGCCGGGGCGGGGCCGGGGATGACACTCTTCGTCCCCGATCCCCGAAGATAGAAAAATCCCCGTCTCCGCCCCCAATCCACGACGGGGAACCCCTCACCTTCCATGCCCCCGTCCCCTAACGGGGATCGGGTTTCCTCGACTCCGAAACATCCCCGGCAGATCTGTTCAACACACAACCAAAAAAAAAAAAAAAATCTGTAGAATGGAGGCTTCATGGTTCATGATCTGTTCTTCAACACACAACAATCATCAACAACAACAGCAAATATATATAAGTGGATTTTAAAAGTACTAGTGAATAAAAAGAATATAGGTTACTAGAACATGCTTGCTACAAATTCCAAGAAATATAAACACTATTAAGTGGGTGTTTGGTAAGTGAATTTTTATGTAGGTTTTTTTAATTGTAGAATATTATTGGATAAAATTTTTTTTGGTGTTTGAGAAGATAGTTGGATTTTTTTGTGGTTGGATGTGACGTTTATGAGAGAAAAAGTGAAATGACTATTGGGTTGGATGTGATATTTTGTTTGGATGTGTTTTTATTAATTTTGTAAAAAGTTTGTATTTTAGTGGAAAAAGTCAAAAAAAATTCAGAACCCAAGTTCCCAAACACCACTTTCACCAAGAATTTCACCAAGAATTTCAGTGATAACCAAACACAGCATTTTGTGTACTTAGGCCAAGTTTGGCATCCTTTGAATAATCCATCTTTTTATCTTTTTATCTTTTTTCCATCACATCACCTCTCTACTTTTCTGCACATCTTTTCATAAAAAGATAAAAAGTGCACTTATTTAGATCATCCCAAACAATCCATTACAGTGGGGTTCTAACTTCTAGTTCTAACTATTCTGGAAAAAAAGTGAGCTCAAATTATCTGCACTTTTGCTTGAAATTCAATGTGTAATGACAATGTTGTTTTGCTTTCCTGATAGTAAAAAAATTATACAGATTGATACCTCTCAAAAGAGATTATGATTTTATTTACTAAGCTCAGCTGATAATGTGTGTGAACAAAACTCATGTTGTAATTAGTTAAAACCGTGAGAATCTTCATTTTAAATGAGATTTATCAAACTTTAAAATTGAGTCAACACATTATTTTAACCAATAACAAAATATGTTTTGTTTATACACATTACAAAATGTGTGAATTTCCTCAAATAGTTCCATATATACTTTTTCAATGATGAAGGCTGTTTTGCCAATAAGTGAATCACAGCTAAATCCTTTTCTAGAGTAGGAACGATTTTCCTGGTTCTTGGAGAGAATGGAAAAAATAAAAAACGATGGTTATTTTTACGAGTAAGCAAACCATATTTGACCAAGCCATTCAAACTGACAATTTTGTTCTGGCAAGGAGTCTCTATTCTTTTGGGTCAAAACCGCGAAATAACAATTTGAAAACTATATTACCCAAAAAGCTTCGGATCGGACTGACAAGACCCGATCGGATCCGATTAAATGTTTGCCCGAATCCAAATCCGTATCCGATTGTCCACATCCGCTAATGACCCATCCGAATCCGATCCAATTTATACGGATATCTGTACCACAAATCCGATCCGTTTTTTCTGGAAGAAAGAACTGAGTTTGATGCAACAACAAATTTTTTTTTTTCTTCCTCTCAAATTAATAGCCATAAACAATATCCAAATGGGTTTCTGATCTAAATTAGTGGTGGGTTGCCGGCAAATTCCAATGAAAATCAAGAAAGGATGAGAATTCCAACCTCAAAATCAACAAAGTTGAAACTATATTCAGCTTATTTACAGCTCAAGAACTCTCTTCGAAAATCTCATATAAAAGATCCTACACAGCAAAAAAATAACAGGAGGAAACAGAAGCCACTCTGTTGATGTCAATTCGAATTTAAATCCAAAATCTCGCTTTGATCCCTACAATCTAGAGGCTTGATAATCAATCTTCAATGTTGATGGAGGCTCGATAATCAAACTTCACTGTTTGAAACACTATGACGCACTCCAGATCTAAGATTGTTGCGCAACAGAGAGTTAGGAAGACGAGATTACGTAATGCACTTTCATGGCCGACCGGCGAAAGAGAAATCGCAGATTGGGAATGGTGGAGAAATCTGAGAGATTGAGAGAGATAGCGTTTCCATCTCGTTTGGGAAGAAAAAGTACCGTTTGATTTATCTGTTAAAACACATTATAAATATGTGGTTGGACTTATAAATTGTTTATTTTCACTTTTAACTTAATTTAAATTAAAAGTTTGTATTTGTTGCAACTTAGTTAACCAATTTATAATTTAAATGAAGTTAAATTTTAGCTCTTTTGAAAAGTTGGTTAGGCAATGCTTAAACATTTCGACTTAAGTGCGTAGTTGGTGTGAGGGAGTTAAATGACTTAAAAGTCCCTTTCAAAATTTATTATTTACGAAATTGCTACTATATATACTCTTTGATCTCTTTTGCCCTAAATACTCTCGCCTCTTACACTCTTCTCTACTCTTCTCCTCTCCTTTTTGGCGATTGAGAAGAACAATCGTCGACTTCTCTGATCGCAGCAAATCGTGCTTTAGAACAGTCGTCTACTTCTTCAAGAACAGTTGTCCTTCTATTTTCCATTCATCTGCACCGAAAAGGTAAGATTTTATGATTGTAAAGTTATATACAAATACATATATATATATATATATATATGGACATCAATTAGGGTTTTGTTTTTGGTTATGTGAAATAGTGTGCCAGTTGTGTGTGAGGTTTCTCTTCTCGCTCTCTCTCTCTTTCTCTCATTTCTCTCTCTGATTAAGGTGAAATGTCCCTCTTCTTCACTCTGTGATTGGGGTTGAAAATGCCTCTCTTTCTTCTTTACTCTCTAATTAGGGTTGAAAACCCTCTTTTTACTGTGATTTGTTATTTATTTATTTAATCCTTACCTATTTTTCAATTTTAAATGCATAAATTTGGTACTGGAGTAGATGAAATTTGAGTTCAAAGTTATATTCATTTCATGAGCTTCGTTAATGTGCATCTGATTATAAGAAAAATACTTCCATGTGTAAAGCAATGTTACCTTGGTATTAGGTTGGGTTGCAAAGTGACTAGTCTCTAAGTGTCAAGTAAGCCTCTGAAATATAGATCTCATGGAATTGTGCTGCTGAGCAATACCAAATTAAATATTAATAATTGCTTTTCCGATTTAAGATTATAGTGGATTTTGAATGTGAGTGCTTAATTGTGTTTGTGAAACTAAAAATCAGTCTTCATACTTAACTGCTTAATTATGTTTGTTATTTGATTGTTACTTTCATCAAGAAAAAAATTCAAATGATTGAAAGTTCTTAAACAAACAAGCATTGTAACAAGACAGATCTCAAAATAATTTTTTTTAAAAAAGAAATCAGAGAAATGAATCAATTGAAACAAACCTGCATTGCAAAACCCAGAAGTGATTATTCCTGAAAAGTCTCTCTGTTTCAAAGTAATTTGGGTAGTTTGGCGGGGTGGGAAAGAATTTGAAAAAAAGAAGAGGAAAGAAAGGAGACAAGTTGGACCAGAGAGGAGAAGAGAAGAGAGAAGAGTAGAGAATGAGAATGTATTTGCTTGAGAAATTTCTTTTTTTTTTATTATCAAAAGATTACTGTTTTCTTTTGTGGTTGAGCAATAACAATTAATTAACATAAGGTTGTATTTACTTGAAGATAATTTAGACAAGAATTGTAACCTTGGTTTTGAGATGTTAATCTGTTTAGCATGTTTAAATATTACCTTATTGGTGTTTTAGGATAAAAATATGTTATGTTTTGATCCTGTTATTAGTGTTATTTGGTCTTATTTAGAATAAAATTTTGATATCCTTAATGCTTTAAAGTTTCTACTTAAAATGATATGTGTTTTAGTTTTGATTGTTTTAAACGAAAATTTGTCTGTGTTATTCTAAACTAGATTTTATTGTTTTGATTAAAGAGAATATCAATGGTTGTTTAAACAGAAAGAAATGAAAAATGATACCATGTTGTGATTACTCAATATTGCCACTGCTGTAGAAGTTGCTTTGGTTGTGTGTGCAAGGGCATTAACATGTGTGAATCTATCCACAAAGACTTGTATTTCTTGTGCCAACTTTGGACAAGTCATGTTGCTGGTTAATCTATGTGTAACAATTTACAATTGCTTTTTTTTTTTTTGTTTTTTGTTGTCATATTAATATAAATTTTGAAGTTTACACCTTTAGTTGCAATACATCATTTGGACACGGACTTGATTGCAGATATATAAAATGGTGTCAAAAGAAATTGCGGCAAACGAATTGTCAATATATGTTACAAACATTTTATTCAATCAATACTTCTTGGGTGCAATGTATTTACAATTAACTTCCCAATCAATTTTAGAGGGTTTGGATTCAATTCTTCTTAATTAATGTAGAGGCATGTCATTCTCTAGTAACTATTATTCTAGTGCTGAGACCTTCGACTTGAGGTATGAGGCTTTGAAATGTGATTGTGGGCTAAGAGCTACCATAATGGTTACCGAGTCTGACAAGCCATCTAAAAGGAGACTATATTTCATTTGTGAGAAAAGAAAGTGTCAATTTTGGGGCAGAGGAACGAGAGAATGCTTGATCAAAATCAAAATATGGAGACTGTAGGACTACAAGTAAAGAACCAAATGCTTGAGCAATCTAATGTTTTCATGAAGCAACTTGTTGTGGGTCTGCTCACAATTTGTATTGTTATGTCAGTTACATTACTCTTCAAATGATGATAGGTGCCGTTTAGAGATACCTGGTGTTTTTGTACTAATGTAGTTTACCATGAACTATTGTACTAAGCTTTGTACCTAATGAATGTTGATATGTCTGACGTAGTTTCCATGTATGGTTATTTTGTACTAATCTGGCTGTTGTAATGCAAGCAATGATGAATGAGTTTGTTTTTTTAAAAAAAAATTCTTTCATAGAATGAGTACCCAAGAGGAAACATATTTTGAAAATAAGAAGAACAAGGGAAAATCAAGTCTAATACCATCCGTTAAAGCTCACTGGGATGCAAAATCAAACAAAATTTTTATTAAGCTTTGTGTTGAGCAAGTGAAGGTTGGACACGGGCCTAATACACACTTAGATAGGGTCGGGTGGGAAAATGTGATAACTAAGTTTAAAAGTATGACTGGAAAAACATACCAATGAATACAAATGAAAAATCATTGGGATGTGTTGAAAAAAGATTGGCTTTTATGGAATAATCTGTTAAGGGATGAGACAGGCTTAGGCGGTGATACATTGATTGGAGCAATATCTGTATCTGATAAGTGGTGGACCAAGAAATTAGAGGTAAGTGAATTTCTTAATGTACATATTCTTTTTGTTTTTTGTTTTAACAGACCAAATTTTGTTACTTGAAATTGTTAAATTTCCCTTAGTAATTGTTGCAGAGGTATCCTGATGTTGTTAAATTTCGGCATATGCCATCGCAATTCACTGAAGACTTAGACATACTATTCTCAGATGCAGCTGCTACAGGAGAATGGGCATACACCCCTCGCTCAAGGGTTATGCCTCACACTGATGAGACTTTGGAGAAATTTCATACCCCACATGATGCTAATTTGGAGGATGATACTGATTTGGAGGTGGTTTGTCCTCAGATTTAAACAAAAAACGTCCATCAAACACTGATGGTTCATCAACCAAGAGTAAGACAAAGAAGAAATTTACTGGTGCAGCTCTACTTAACAATACACTTGATCGTATAGTCAATGTGGTTGAGTCATCTTCAACAACTTCAACACAAACCTCATCAAGATATCCTTCAATTGCAGAATGTTTGGTGAAGTTGAAAAGCATCCCTGTTATGTCCTCGGATGATGAGCTGTATGCATGGGCTGCCGAATTGTTCTTAAGAGACAAGCACCATGAGTGCTTCATAAGTCTTCCTACGGATGAAGTTCGACTGAGGTTTATGAAGTTAGATGGAGAAGACCACCACAAGTTATCGCAGCTAATTGTTTCTGAAGTTGGATGTTGGTGAATTTCTTAATTATTTCATGTTTAAGACCTTTATTAAGACTTTTATTATTAATTGTGGACTGTTGTGTTAGATTCATTATTTTTTTTCTTTTATTAATATTGAGTATGCTAGACTTTTATGTTGGACTCATTATTTGGACTTTTATTAATATTCTGTTGGACTTTTATTATGTTGGACTTTGTTAGTTCAATGGTTGAATGGTTGGTAGGTAGATGCCATTTATTCTCAGATGCAATTTTTATTAGGTGGATGCCATTTGAATGGTATGTGGCATTGATTTCAATATTGAATATGCGTGGTAGGTGAATGGTTAAAACTTTTATATATATGTAGATGTTCTCCAGCTGCTGTTATTGTGGGAAAGGTTGAATCTCTTGTGAGATTTAGGTTGTTGTTTGTAAACAAGTGAAGGCTAAAATTTTTATTAAGGTCCCATGTTTCCTGATTTGTTTGCCTTCTCTTTCATATAGCTTGATCTTATTTGTTGCTGCTCTACTGCATCTGCTTGAGCATTGGCTTCACAAGTTAGTTCAAACTTTGAAGTTGAAGGTACCAAATTTTTTTCCTTTACATTTTTATTAGTTTCTCTGTGTAGCCCGACTTTCCGCGTTCCTTTTAGAAGACGAATAGCCCTACAGTTTGGACTCCACTTGTGGTTCTGAATATAATTTCACAAGTGTAATGTGAAATAGTGAAAACACAAAAAGTGTCCAAATTGAACAATTCTTTTTGAAAAATCAATGTTTGAATCAAATGCCCAAAAATGGACTACTTTGCCAAATTACAGAGTTGCCACCTAAATATTTTTGAAAAATTTAAAAAACCCGCGACTCGTGCCAAAGGCCATTAGTTTGTCATCACCAAAGTGTCTCGGCTAGGGAACTTAGGTACGAGAGGGGAAGGTCATGAATTGAGCACTCCACTCGCTCGATCAAAGATCGGCCTTTACTAATCATGATGTGTTTTATATTTATGGTACATGCTCTTGTTCTAATTTATTAGCTATTTTTACTAGTGGAACACTTGATTTCATGTTTTGTTTCGAAATTGTTTTGTGAATTTGCACTTGAAAAAGTGGGCTAAAATGGACACTAATCAAGCCATCCCAATTCAAGCAACTAGCTTTCATCTACAGGCATTCAAAAAATTATATCATTTAAGCAATTAGTCTCATGGTATTCATGCTTTGACATGACAACACAAACATTCGATGTAACATGCTAAGACATAAAAGCTCACCTAGTACTCCGAGCCAAAACAGGTGAAAGAGTTAGAAAAATATGTATGTTCCTAACTTTTGCAATATGACTAATGTAACGCACACATTATGTATTTTATAGGCTCGGCTATGAGCATGGAATATGATTGCATTCAAGACATGCGAGAGAGCACGTATTCAAGAAATGAGTTTTGAACATCGATATTGGGTTAGTATGATGAGCCGAGCCTTCGATGCATGCAAGACAAATGGATGCGAAACATGGAGTATGCTAAAAAACGTGATCTTTCTAAACTAACCATTATAAGCAAGTAAGTAAAAGGGAGAAAGAAGTGGGGTTGGAAGACATACAACTTATTACAACATTGCCCTCGTGCAAGAGGGTGTGAATCAAAGTCCAAAAGTCCAAATTAAACTAATTATTACAAAACCGAATGAATTAAATAAGCAAGGCTAATTAACTAGCTAACTATGTTATTACAACAAGGGTAATAATGATAAAACTAGCTATTTAAGCTAATTAACTACAACAATTACAAAGGGACAATAATAATAATCACAACATTAATAATTAATTAGACTAATCCTGAATAAATTAATTACAATGATGATCATGATGTAAGTGAGATTGCGCAAGGGTTGCATGCATGCACATGCACAATGTTCAAGAACAGCTTTGTCTGCCCCAAGCTTGCTCTGTTTCATCTCAGCCACTGTCCTCTGTTTTCTGCAAAAATACACTGTTGACCAAACATTGAGAACTGACCCTCAATGAAGCCCGACTGGGCCTAAAGAAGGCTGGTCATGCCTCAATTTTGTGCAAAACTCTGCTTTGTGTATTTAAATGAAAACAATGCAGACAGAGTGATCTGGACTCTATTTGTCCTTCTCACACCTCTCTGTCATGGAGATGCCTCGAGAGAAGGTTATAATTGTTTCCAAAACCACCAATGAATGAATTAATTGATGATTTCGATGCACAATTTTGGACAAAAATCAATAAATGAAATGAAAATGACCACTCCTCCCTCTTTATCATGGAATGAACTCAAAAAAAGAAGTAGAGATGCTTCAAGGATCATCAAAATGCCATGAATTAGCGTATGGCCACTCTTGACTTGATAAACTTGGCATAATGTCCAGCGAAGCCCAAATAATATGACTCATTTTCTTTATATGTGTGGTTGCTTTTAAACCAATTCTCTTAGTCATTTCCATTCTTTAGTCCATTTTTCCGAAGTGGTGATTAAGTCCTCTAAAAGGAGAGAAGTGTCAAACGGGAAGTAATTCTCAACATGAAAGAGAGATTATGCCGTTGACAATGAATCTTTGTAGAGATTAAGCCATTAGGCGTGAATCTCTAGTTCATGTGTTGAATGACCGTCAATCGATTGAAACAACTCTCAAATGAAAGAAATGAATGACAAGTTGATTCTTAAAATGAGGTCATTAACATGAAAGTTAGACAAAGAAAGGCTAAGAACAACATAATACAAGCTATGTACAAAGACTAATGCTATAACAAAGGAACTAATCAAAGCTTGAATCAATTAAATAGATTATAATAGCCCTAAAAAAGTCTCCAATAAGCCAAAATGGTGGCTGAAAATGCAAGAAAAGAACTCAAAAAGCTAAACAAAAAGTAAAGACAATAAAGCTATGTAAGCAAAAACAAGGAGGGGTGGCCAACCTCTCCAATTTCAAGACTTCAAACCATGTTTTTTTGGCTTTAGTTCAACTCTGAAAATCAGTTCAAAACCAAGGGTTGAGCTATGAAGATAGGTGCAAGTAAGGGTGTTAACCTTACCACCTTTGGTAACTTGTCCAAACCTAAGTTCTAACACTTAAAATGCATGCAAAACAGCCTAAGAATACAAGAAATAGATAGAAATGAAGTAAGCAAAAACAAAAACAAGAGTTGTAAGCTTATACCTCTCAAAATGGAGCAAGCTTTCGTTGATGATCAAACTCACTCTTGACACACTCTCAAACTTGAATTATGCTGCTCAAGGGTCAACCAAGGCTCTAAGATGATGAGTCAAGGTTGTGTATGGTGTATATAGATGATACAAGGAAGGTAGGTTAGCTCAAAGATAGCTTGCAATGGAAGAAAGAGGAAGAAGGAGCTCTCTCTATGTGTATAGGCTTTCTCTCAATTGTTTAACCCTCAAAATAGAGGTATATGGTCATTTATATAGAATTTGAGCCAGAAATATCATAAAAATCTTCAAAAATATACAACTGGCAGCCTCCCGCCCAGAACAGTGTTTCTCGCTACCAAGGCACGGCCGACCCTCAATAGCCATGGCCGGCCCTCAATGAGGCATGGCCGGTCCTCAATGAATTCCCCTGTTTTTTTGTTTTAGCCTCAACATAAGGTGGCACAAGGTGTAAAAGTGGATTTCTTGGGTATAATCAATAGGAATATGGGAGGTTTGGGATTGTTTCGAAGCTTAAATAAGGCTCCTTCGTTAAGACCTCGAACCACGCACAATACCACTTTCATCATCGAGTGTACCGAGCAAAGCGCTCAAGCCTTGCAAGCAATCAAAAATGGGGTGTCCACAGTTGCCCCTCTTTAACAGAGCTTGAAGTCATAAAGTGACGTGGGTAAATGTCAAAACCCAGAGACGACCCATTTGACAAGGCCGTAAGGCTCGGGCAAGAAATCAAGACATAAATGCAAAAATTGAACTTAGGGCAAAATACAAAAACGAAATGCAACAAATAACTTATGATCATGCAATGAAGCAATGCAATGAAACAATATGTAAATAAAGCAATGAAACAACGCTACAATCTAGACAAGAATGCAATGTTGGAATGAAAATGCAAATCAAAGCAAAATAGAGCTCGCCGCGTTTCACACGGAACGAAGTGAATAAACAGGCATGCCTTGTGTGAAAAACACAAAGAAAGCACAAACCAACCTACGTCTCACGTAGAAAGGATGTATGAAAATGCTGACCTAACTACGCCTCGCATAGAAAGGGGGAAGGACGATGTAGCCATCGAGCGCACCTAAGGTCTTAATTGAGATCCTAACATGTCTTACGCAATAGGAGGAAGGGCAGTGTGAAAAAACAGGCGCACCTGATGTTTTTAACCGAGGTAAACAATCCTCACGTGTTACACACGAGAGGAGGAAAGGTGGTGTGAACACCGAGTGCACCCGATGTTTTTAACCGAAGGTACAATCCTAACGCATCACAAGTGAGAGGAGGAAAGGTGGTGTGAACAAAACAGGCACACCTGATGTTTTTAACCGGGGGTACAATCCTAACGTGTCACACACAAGAGGAGGAAAGGTGGTGTGAACAAATAGGTGCACCTGATGTTTTTAACTGAAGGTACAATCCTAACGGGTCACACGCGAGAGCAGGCAAGGTGGTGTGAACAAACAGGCGCACTTGCTGTTTTTAACCGAGGATACGATCCCAACGCGTTGCACGCGAGAGGAGGAAATGTGGTGTGAACAAATAGGTGCACCTGATGCTTTTAACCGAAGGTACAATCTTAATGCATCACATGCGAGAAGAGGAAATGTGGTGTGAGCATTGGGACACGCCTAATGTTTTTAACCGAATGTACAATCCTAACGCGTCACACGTGAGAGGAGAAAGAAGGATAAACAGATTGCATAAGTAGGAATTAGAAATAAACATGGATTCTACACGGAGAGGCGTAAAATCAAAATACTCAAAATGGTGTAGTAAAGTGGAAGCCAATTTACCCACCTGTTAAAACAATGAACGCAACACACAAAGCTTCAATGTGGTTGTGAAATGGATGATGATTTTACTATGGCACAAATGATTTACCTGGAACTCCTCTAGAACTCCTCTGAATGAACCGTACATACAATATCGTTTGTTTACGTTATAACAGAACAAACAATTTAGGCAAAATAATTTATAAACTAACTAAACAGTTTAAATAAATTTGAACAAATCAAAACTATGACTTAAGCTATGAGTTAAACAAGCAAATTATGAATCAAATCATGCATTCGAACAATAAATTCAAATGAACACAAATTCTTGCTTTTCTTTCCCACTTTTTCCACATTTTTCTTTCTTTCTTTTACTTTCTTTTCTTTTTAGTTTGCTCTCTCATTTTCCTTTTCCAACTCTCTTTTTTTTTTTCAACTCTTCTTTTTTGGGTTTGGTTTTTTTTTTCCCGCCCTTTGAAACCCCATAATACAAGAAATAAATAACAAAAAGGAAAAGAGAGAGGGAAAGAACGAAACTGAAATGTGTTGACATTGAGAGCCAGTAGGGCCTCAATGAAGCATGGCCGGGCATTGCGACAGCCGGCTGGGCCTCGATAGCGGTAGGGGCAGTTTCCCAAACCTCATTTCCTCACACCTTTTCATCCGAAATCCCTTCCTCTCTCTCTTTAGCTTTTCTCTCTCTCTCTAGATTTCCACTTTTACTTGCAATATCCAACAACCCTCGCCACTTTTTCTTCGAAACCCTTCATCTCCTTTACATTTTGAACCGATTGGATTTTGATTCGGTGAAGTTTTTAGGTTTCTCATTGTTTTTCCCTTGTTTCTCACGAGTTTTCGTGGTTTTTGGTGTATTTACTCTCGTGTTTTCACTTTGCCCTCTCATTTTCTCTCTCCTGGGGTTTAGCCCCCTACATTTTTCTTGCTTTCTCTTTATTTCCTCCACTTTTCTCCATGGCTAGTGACGAAGTTTCCATCCTAGACCTTGCCATTGGCATTGGGGCTGCCTTAGGTGCAGACATGGAGGTCGATGATGCTCTCGCATTGCCTCTCCTCGTTGATAGGCCATTTGACGCGGCCACATACCAACCACGCACACATGCTCCACCCCCAAGTGGCATTTTGAGATTCAAGGGCCTCATCCCCGAGATAGACGAGGATATCTTGCTGCGAGAGCCCATGGAGCACTTGTCTATCGATGCCTCCATGGTAAGCAACTTCCCTTTGTTTTGATGCATTGTTGAATCTCACAAGTAGACCACTAGTTACTAGTTAAATGCCATATATTTCCCATTTGCAGGTGATAGCCAGGAGGATTGGTGGCTACGAATCCATATCCGGCCCCCAACGTTGGTATAAGAGACTGCCCGAGGAGGTCCGCGCATTAGGTGATGCTGCTGGCTTTGGCCCTTCTACTCAGGGCTTATACAGATGAGGGCTAAGTCGTTGTTGTATAGGGCCCTAGTCCAAAGATGGTGGGACACCACAGACTCATTCCTGTAACGACCTCAAAATGCGTATCAGAAATTATCTTTATTTAATTATGAGTTAATGTGCTTTAATTTAATGATATCTGTTTGAATTGAGGAATTACTGTTGAGTTATGACTTTAAAACTAAAATTGCCGACCTTCATGGGTTCAAAAACTGAAATTGAATACATGGATATGCTAATGGGAATTTTTAGAACCATTTGGGAAAGTTAATTGAAAATTTATTTTGTCTGATTCGTTAAGGTATGTTCGCATGGTTAACTTCGCACTGTAAATTGAAGGTCTTAGAGGCTTTAGAAACCAGAACAAAATACATAATTATGATCAACATAATTTTTAGAGTCATCTGTGAAGTTTAATTGAAATTTGATTTCGGCTGATTCGTTAAGTCATGTTTGGCTCTTATCATTGAGATAGGCTTTTGGGTATAGGTTTTATGAGACAAGGTAAAAATATATTAGTATATGGGCCTTGTGGAGATAGACTCAACAAACAAAGGAAAAGAAAAAAATTTGGAGAGAAAGAGAGAGAGGGAGAAAGCTTTTAGAGAGAGAGAGCCAAACATCCATGGAATTTGAAGATGAAATTGAAGAAGAAGCATAGGAAATTGAGCGACTTGGAGTTGAATTCAAGAAATTGACTCAAGGTATGTAGAAATTAACTTAACTTCTTGGGAATAACTTGTTAATTGTTTGAATTCATGACTCAAGATGAAGATTTCACACCTAATTGAGTTAGGGTTTTGAAGTACAAGCTTAAATGAGCTCCCTTCATAGAATTGAATCTTGATTCCTTAGATTTACTTGATTTAGGAGTCAATTTTCTTACATATGGTTATCTTGAAGTTGATTATGAGATGTTGAGCCTTAATCTTGAGGTTTTGTATGGTTAATCTTATATGAAATGAAGATCTACATGAGTTTAGAAGAAGAAGTTTTGGAAAAGTTTGATAAAGAATTAAACAAGGATTTTGATTTTCCTTGCTTAAAGATTCATGGTATTTTTGGTGTTTTGATTTAGAAAACAACCATAACCTCATATTTTCTATTAGTTTTATATGTTTTTGAATGATTTAAGTTGAAATCTAGCTTAGAAAATGAAAGAACAAGTGTTAGAACCAACTAGTATTTTCGGACAGCAATTTTTGCCCAGAGTTGCACGTATGACGGGGCTTCCCGCATGTATGGAAGCCTTCTCCCAGCAACATTTTTGATTTTGAAATAAAAGAACGTGCCCCCGCACATGCCCTGGATTTCCCGCACGTGCGGATTTGGTCCCGCAAGTGCGACACTCCCCTGTTTCAGCTCAACTTCAAATAAGCATGTTCTCTCATCCGGACTCCGTTTTAAGTGATTCTTGAGCCTAAATTCAAGCCCCAGAAGTCTAGTTTCCAATGGTGGTGGTCTTACTCTCAAATTATAAGTACACAAATAGATATGCTCAAATTAGTGAAGATTGTTCACTTTCTGTCTACCGGTTTCATGCGAATTCTTCATCTAACTCAGTTTCCTTTCATTTCCTCCTATTTTTGTAAACACGGATGATGACCTATTGAGGACTAATGAGTTTAGAACCAACATAACTAATTGATTAAAGAGAAAAGAAAGGTATCGATTAACTTCATATGTTGTGTTATGTAATTGTGATTGTAGGTCAAGACAAGGACATCGCCCAACTACTACCGGAAGCCCATCACTGTGAGTAATAATATTGTAAAGTTATGTTCATTATATTTATTTTAATATGTAAATGTTGCGATGCTATGGAATTATGTGTACGCGAATGAATGAGTTACAAGATCTATGATATAGAATATAGATATGAAATGTGAATTATTTATAATATGATATATGATTGGGCCCGAGGCCGTTTTGATATATGATTGGGCTCGAGGCTGTTTTGATATTCGATTGGGCCCGAGGTCGTTTTGATATTCGATTGGGCCCGAGGCCATTTTGATGTTCGATTGGGCCCGAGGCTGTTTTGATACATGTAGGCCCGAGGCCGTTTTGTTATATGGTGGGCCTGAGGCCGTTTTGTAAATATGAAAAGGAATAATGTTGTGAATAATGTAAATGTGGAAGAGTATGGTGTTACGCTTCTTTTGAATCTAGATAATTTACCTGATTCACTTCACTTTATTATTACTCATTGAGTTTCGCTCACTCCGTATTTTATCTGTATGTAGGTGATCAATCCGGAGACCATCCTTAGGTCAGCGTCAGGAGTTCTGTTGTGAACCTGCTACGTCAAGCCACCCAAAGTGCGCCTCTGTGTTGAAGCTTTAACCTTGTATTGTTAGAATTTTGTATTTACTTAAGTTTTATGTATATGTGTGTGAGATATATATATATATATATATATGTATATGTATACTAGTGTGTTTACATTGTTTTAATTATTTCCGTTATCATGTATGCACAAGCTCGATGGACATTACTTTTTGGTTTGCTTCCGCTTTAGGCCCCAATGTCATTTAAATATTTTGAAATTTTGTCTTTGAGGCCTAAGTACAGACCGGTCATGGCCTAAACTTTTAGGGGCAGGTTCGGGGTCGTGGCAATTCCACTTCTTATCGATCAGGGAGCTGACTCTAACTTATAGTGATTCCAGTTTTGACCCGTCACTTGTTGTACTCCGAATTCAGGTTGGTATGGTTTTGAATAGTTATTCATATCTTGTTTCTCTTGTCTTCCTCTTATTTTGGTTATCGGGTTATAGTTATGCATTTGGAACAGGTTAGTTTTTTGTTTTTCCAAACCTGTGATGCCCAGATTTTGGCTCTTGCGCTTGAGTTGGCATTCTTGCGCTCGAGTGGGCATTCTTGCGCTCGGGCGAGATTTGTCAACTCTTAGTATTTTTGCAGACCTACAAATACTAGGAGAGTGTATGGGACGCTCGAGCATCTAGTCTCACACTCGAGCGGGGTCTGTCATTTGAAAAATTTCTGGAAGTGTGTATCCTATTCTCGAGCGCCACTTTTCATGCTCGAGTAGAACTTTGTGTCTGACGCTCGAGTGTCACTTTCCACCCTCGAGCGGACTGCGTGTATAACAGTCCATGAAAATGACATTTTGAATCATTTTTTTATATCTCTCTCTCTAAAACTCTCCAAAACCCTAGATCTTAAGTTTCTCTCTCTAAAACTCACATTCTCTCTATTATTTCACCTAGATCCATTGTGTTCTTCACCCTAGTGCCTTTGAGAAAAAGGTAGAGTGCTTCAAGATCTTCATTTTGACCCGATTGAAGTTGGATTTCGGATTTTTCAAAGTCCTATCGTTGCTTGGATTATCTTCTCTCTTTAAGGTGGGGATTTTCTACACTTTGTTATGACTTTTAACTTAGTTATTTGTAGTTATGTGACAATGGTGGGATTTGGGAGTATTTTGAGTCAAACCTAAGGTTTGGGTAAAATGTGAAAGAGGGGTTTTTGGTGTAAATGAAATAAATGAACATGGGGTTTGAAAATAAAGTCATGTTATGTAAAAATGGGTGATTTTGGTATTTAGATTGGTATTTTGAAAAGAGGGATTTTTGCCCTAAATTGATTATCATATCTATTTTGTATAAATAGTTGAAATTGGTGTTGCAAACTTCGAATTGAGTAAATGTTGAAATAGATGATGAAATTGAGTATATAATGCTTTATACCCTTGGAAATTTCGGATAAATTATCTGTCTTGAGATTGTATATCTGTTTAGAAATATTTGTGTTCGGTTATCGGTGGAGGATAACTTTGCTTGTTGTAGAAATTGCATGTGAATTAGGTAAATTGAAACTAGTTCATGGTTGATTATCATTGAATATGATTATGCTGTGAATACATTGTATATGTACGATTATTTGGGAGAAGAAAGGGGATGTACTCCATTGTTTGGGAAGAGAAAGGGGATAGACTCCATTATAATTAAGTTGGTCGGAATGTCCTAGGTGAAAGTCCTGAAATTATACATGGGTGCCTATCTCACAGACAAAATATTCATAAAATGACAAATTGAAATTATACATGAGTGCTGATTCCGCGGACGAAATATCCGTAAAATGGAAATTGGAAGTGTTTGTATGTTGATAGTGAAATTATTGAACCATTGAGTTGTAGTCTCATTTGGGTTATTGAAAAATAAAGGAATTGGCTCATGTATTGAAATGAATTGAAAGAAAATGAAATGAAATATAATCTTGGCATTTTATTTTTTTTATAACTATATAAAATGGGTTTGTCTTGCTTGTTAGAGACTTAAATACGAACGATACGTGCTTATATGATAACATGCTTATGTGATTATATGGGTATGAGATTTAGTTCCTACGATATTGATTGGGCCTACGGGCTTCTAGAAGTCCTATGAGAAAAGCACTTGATCACTGTTGTTTCTAATTGGAACTCGAGCAACGTTGCGGGACAATCATTATCTAGGAAGGAAATTTGTATATGTTTACGTGATTACATGCTTATATAGAGTGGATTATTGCTATCTAATGTATTTGGACACAAGTGAGTTAGCTTCGGCATATTTCTAAATGCTAATATTTCTGTTACTTTTATTAGGATGTCAAAACGTGGTCGTGGAGGTAGGTGTGGTAGGCCTAGGAGGCACGAAGTGCCTATACCGGATGAAATTTTGACGCAGGAAGAAGGGATTGGTCAGGCCAATGTGGCTGAACCAGTTGGTCAGCAGGCTATGTGCGCTTTAGCTCGCGAAATGGCTGGAGCATTGCAAGAGTCCATGGACATTCTCAGAGTTGAGAATCAAGTCCAGGCCCAGGTAGTTGAGGCAGGGCCTTCATTTCTGAAGAGAGAGTTTTTTCTATCTAATCTGGATGAGTTTTTGGGTGACCCAAAGGAACCACTGAAGGCGATGAGTGGCTTGAACAGATA